ACGTGATGCTATGTTGAGACTCTGACCAGTATACACTTGAGGCTATCTCCATTCCATGTTCTCTCTGATGGTGAACCCCATCTTCCTGTCTTCTGACACATATCCACTAGCTGGGACAATTCTAATTGCAGTGTGTCACATAGGGATGTAGAGAGGGAAGTAGTAGAGGTGCTCAGAAGGAAATCACTTGCCTCCTAACCCCTTATCAATAAGAGGGAATTGTATTCCTGTCCTTTAATCAAGAGTTCAGACCAAATTTCATCTGTGAGTAGAGCCCTGTATCTCATCACCTCATTCTTGATTTTCTCAACTGTTTTCTGATCCTCTTTATGTTGAAAGTTGAGAGCCTTCATAGCTCGATTCATTTCCCTAAATAGAAGTGATAAGAAGATTTATTACATATACGTGGCAGAATATCATAAAATAACTATAAAGAGAAATTAAGTTACTGTTCTATCAGGACACCAGCCAAGTTTCTTCCAATCTGTGCTGAATTTTCTCATTAACCTCTTGTGTGTGAAATGGAGGTAAGAGGTTATTAGTAGTGTAAAGGGCTGAAAGAAAGAATTTTGTTCCCCTATTGGCATGGATGAGTCCATCACCAGATTTTGCCTTGAGAGTACAGAATTGTAGAGAAGTAGCAGATGTGGTGGGGTTCCAGGAGGGTATCAGGGAAGTATGATTATCACATTAAACTTTTTAGGTGCTGGCATACTACCCATATTTCATTCAGTACACACATTTAAGGACAATCCTCTTCCCCTGAAGTTATTTCTGAAGAAGTGTCACAACACACTACATTGCTAGAATGCAGGCTTTCCACTGAGAAGCAAAACTGATAGGTTGACTGGTCCTAGGGCACTGGTCTTAGGTACAGATGATAGCTTTTACAGGGTTATTGTTTCTTGGCCTCTTGTGGGTTAAGATCAAGTGTAACTATGAAAGTCAGTGGCATTGCTAGTTTGATCTTATCTACACACACACACACACACACACACACTCTCAGAATTGGGACCTTAGTCTTGAAGGATCTCATATCACTTTTCATCAAGAGAAAGGTGTAACGGCTAAAATTTTAATTAAGGCATGAGTTCTCAATGTTTATCCATAATACAGATCAGAACTTAGTAGTGTTTCCTGGATCTCTTGCCTCATGTTTGAGAATCCATGATGTATCTGTGGCAGCTATGATAATTGCTTACAAGGAAATAAAATCGATATTGGAAAGGTACTTGGTTATCTTTAGCTTTCTTTAATGCTAGCAACGAGCTCCATTTTGCCAGCCAGTTTTTTCCTTTCCACTGTCTATTAGCAAGTGTACTATGAACTACAGTTTAAGACTCATAGAATTAGAGCATTCATGTTCCATTTCACTTGTGAAATTATGGTAAAACAGAGAAGTCTTACTGATCCTCCCTATGTAAGTTATGACATCCAACTTCAGGTCCAGAGCAGTCTGGAAAACCTGAGTGAGAAGAGAGACTATGATGGGGCACACAGAAGCACCTCCTGACTGTAGAGGTTTTGGCAGAGATGAACATTTTGTAAAGTGGGTGCAGGGGGTTGAATAATGATGTGACAGAAGAACATCTACACTTCCTTCCATCTACCTCCTCAATCCCAAGTGATGAACTTTAGGAACTCGGAAAGGTAGGCTTTGGAGTCCATGGGGGAGGGTTAATGGAGGTGTGTGCAGGATAAAAATTGACTTGGGGAGCATCCTCCAAGTCACTTACTGCACCATCTCTGCTATATTGTAAGTATGTAGCATTCATGAGACTGTGCAGTGTGCTGCTTGGTTATCAAATAGGGTGTCTGCTGAAAGGAACAGGATGAGAGAGCTTTCTTTAGCCAGAGCATGTACAGCGACTCACTCTCTGACCATCTCATTTGGCTCCAGAATCACTCTCTCCAATAAGGTGGCCTGAACACTTTCGTCCTGCAAGTGGAGGGTGACAATGGCACGACAGGCCTCCTTTCGTACTCCTGGCTCCTCCTCATAGTGAATAGCCCAAAGAAGAAGATGTTTCAGCAGGGGGCTAACATGGCCTATTTGGCCCAATGCTGCCAAAGAAAGAAAAAATAAGTGATGTTGATTTTCCATGCTAGGGTCTGGGTGGGAGAATTAACTCAAGTGCTTATTTCTGTGTATTAGGTTTCTAAAAGACTTAATGTTTGTAGACTCTTAGAAAATACAGTGTTTACCTGCAGGGTCAGAAGAGGTCTGCAGCAGATAGTTGTGTTGCTGTTACAAAAAATGGTAAACAAGTAATGTGCTCTGGGCCAATTGTGAAGCGCTACCTAGGAGAGGAAGAGGGGACCTCAGTAGCAGATGATAATGGTTTATTGGAATTTGATTACATCCTTCTTAGCCTGTACAGCTATAATTATTTACTGGTCATAACCTTACCCCATCCTTCTCAGCAATCCATCATTTGATTTGTTTACATTGTAGAGGAATAAAATTCACAAGACAATTACGATTCTGAAAGTGACATTTAAAAAAAATATTTGAAATGCAGCACTTCTTAATTTCACTGAGTGACTATGTTGGGTAGCAAGCTTTAAGAAATGCACTTTTTAATAATCACGGTGTGGAAAATACTAAGAAGGCTGCAGCAATACAGGAAAACAAAAAATATATATAAGATTTTTTTATGGTGTTATGGTGACTTGTAAATATTTCAGTGTGATACAGAGAATAGATTGAAAAGCTAAGCATTCACACTGCATCTAATGCACCTATAACAGTATAGCTGCGTTATGATTCCTTTAGACAGGAAAGATGGACTAGGAGCATAGGCGATGCGTAAGTGCTGACAGTGGAGGGGCTGCCACTGCCTCTTCGCTGCTACTGCCACCAGGGGGGTCCCTGCTGCCAGGCATTGCCAAGGTAATAAGAATTTTTTTTAATTTCCTTCCCATTCTCTGTCTACTATTCTATTTTATTCCTTCATTTCTTCTCCCCCACTTACTCAATATTCTCTCTCATACTGTTTCAGTTAGATTTGTGGAAAAGCTGAATTCAAGAAGTGCTTTACACTTCATCTGAAGGCCATGAAATTAGTGATTATTTTAATCTCCTCCAGCAGTGCCCTCTCAAGTCTTGTTCCAGTCACTCATAAATCCTTACAGATGATTGTTTTGTAATTCCTGAGAAGCATAGCTCCTGAGGTAGAGTCAGTTAGATACCTTGGACAGCTCCCAAGCAGGCCTGAAAGATAGACCAAAGGTTCTGTATCTGACCAAATATTCTATGGAAAGCCATGGAGTTGGCAGGGGACAAGACTGAAAATTAGCATAAACTTTTACAAGATTTATGATGCACCCTAAAATTATACATGAATTACAAAATCCAAATGATAAATTAATTAATTTACTATTTTGGATTTTAGACACTTGTATAGGTTGCCCATGCTTGCTACACTGGACTCTGGCATTTAAAACTGATAACTGAAGAATTTATAGCATGGTAGGGATTGTTCCTCTTGCTGGATTGCAATGGTTTTGGGTACCATGGTGTCCTATTTCCAACAAAAACTCCATCAGAAAAGTGTTTTTTTTTTCCTGGTGTGGAATTCAGACAAATGGTTTTATTTAAAATGTTAACAGTCAGTCCTTCTAGGACACACAGAATAGCAAGGTTTCAGAATATATGTCCTGTGTTAGATTTCTTACTCTGTTTGAAGGACACTGGTATAATGTTACTATTAGATTTACTCTGTTCATGGGTGTCATGTCTAGCATTAAAATTTCTTTTAAAAATTATTTTTGGAATTCAAAATGTATTTTTTTTAAAAACCAAGTAAATGATTAAAATCCTCATGAAGAACAGTCTTTTAAGGACATGGGTTTTTAGCAACAAATTCTGCAGTACCTCTGATGGCAAAGGCCTTGATTTTCCAGTGAGGATCAGTCTGCATTGTCTTCAAAAGGCATTTAAGGACCTGAGACAGAAGAGTACCACTGTTAATAGTATTTGTATCATGATTTATTATACGTATAGGATCATACATGCATATGATGCTGTATAGGATGCAACCTGCAACACACACAACCGATTCCTCCCCTAAAGAGTTTAAAGGCTAACAGAGTGCGTGGAAACAATACAGGACAGAATTCACACAGGGCAGAGTATGGACATTATACTTGGAATGCTTCAGGAAAAAGATGGGCTTCTGAAAGTTTTTGACCAGGAATTGGAGCGAGGAAGCTTGCTGCACAGCCCATTAGTTGGAACATTGTCCTAGTGTGTGTAAGGTGATAAGGGAGTAGCTAGAAGGGGAAATTCAGAAAGCAGGAGATGGTAATTGGAGACAAAAGGGGATCTTGGCTTAAATATGTCATGAAGTCTATGGATTCAA